TATAGGAATGGTGAAAGTTGCATGATCTTTGCCGTTTGAGGCTCTTCAATACAGAAGTCATAACGTGTGATCCAGCCATGCGTCTTGCAACCCCTCCAATTTCTTTTTGCAATGATTGAGGCGCTGAACGAATGGCCGCACAATTATCCGGCATAAGGTCATTTGCTATTGCCTTTGCTTGATTATAGCGTAAAAGGATCGTATTGGAAGTGCTCTTCTCTTCCTTACTTCCTATGCCGCCTCCAATGTAGACGATTAAGCCGTACTACTTGGTGCTCACTTCGCACCCAAAATCTATTTAGTTTTCGAATTATAGGGTTCAAAGTTAACTCGGTCGCATTTCTGCTTGTTAAATGCCTTTATTGGCTATAATGCGTCATTTAAAGCCACGTGTTATAGGAGGTATCAAGTTTTAGTGGGCTTTATGGGTTATCATCCTGCCATCTAACTCTGCTTAAGAACATGCTCAGTGGGCGGTCATCCTCGTAAATTAGAACGTTCATCATGTGGCAACCGTTGCCTTGCTTCAGTGACAGTTGGCGCGAGAGGGAAATGAGGCTCCACAGAAATGCAGTAATACTGGGTAGGCTGATGATTTAAAGATGAGGTGTCTATCAGCATAACATGAAAGCTCTAGATTTCACAAACCTATGTGCTGCTATAGCTTTTATTCATGAGTTAAGCTTAGGAAAAGTCCATTTTAATTTGTCGGTTGGTACAGCACTTAAATAGAAAGGCAGCGTTCTGAACTCTAATGCAAAGAGTAAAGTTCAAAATGTCTTGGCGTCTTCAGCAAACGACTGCGCCTGAAAGGGGCCTGATTTTAAGCGCTTTGTGTTTAATTCCTCTTGATTGGAGGAAAAAGCTATCATGGCTAGCTATGAACATGCAATCTACAAATCATTCAGTTTGTACGCAGCTATGGAACTAGAGGAAATTGTAACAAACACGTATTTTTCAATGAGTTCTTGAAATTTACTCAAACGAACGGTACAAACTCTGGTGTCTGGTTACGGAGAAGTGGCAACTGTGCACACACAGAAATAACGCGTCTATCCAAAGATTTAAGCATTAAATATGCGCAAGAGTAGTAAATTTCAAAATTCCAATTTAAATTTGCATAAAATACCCTCTTATGTAAGCAATAAGCCCTGAAAATTATTTAAATTGGCAGGATGTTTGCAGAACCATCCACGGGGAATTTAATGCTTTTTGTTTTTGGTAGTTATTTGCTGTATTGTTTTCAGATTAGATCGTGTGGTTCCCCTACACTAAATAGCCATACTGTACATCTATGGCATAGTCAGATATCCAAGCTTGTGCCCTTCTATTCCTTCTACGCACTAAATTGGATTAGTTTCACATGCCAGCACCGTTTGTTAGAAACTTAGAGAAGACTTGGTGCACAGCGCCACTATAGTCAAAGCAACGTGCTAAATTAATTTTTAAAAAGCTGTGCCAAGTTCTTTGGCAAATAATACCCCTTTAGCTCTACCGTAAATTAAATCTGTCATCGACAATCGACTCTGCGGAGACGACGAAGGAACTAAAAGAACGTCTAAAGTAGTGTCCTTTAGGACACCGATGACTGTAGCTGCTACGGACTAAGGGTAGAAAACGTCCAAAGTAGTTTTCCACATGCAGAGATGTCAAGAATTCGGTGCCAGTAGTAGTAAATGTTCATGGCGTACACGAATAAGGTGTGAAGGGTTGGCAAAAGTCAATCCTAATGCCTGCGATTGCATTTGACAAAGGTCTTTACATATAGCAAGCAGTAAAAGGGGAAGCATGGGAAGGATGCTGTGCAACAGTCCCAAGCGTTCCACAACCTTCATCCATACATGTATAAACCCGGCCCGACGCAGCACAACCTTGATGGTGTGACGAAAACTGGAGGTTTCTCCATGATGTAACTGTTGCGTTCCTTACTTCGCTCTATCCATCATTCCACGCCTTAATGCCATCATATCAATAAACGCGCCAAAGTAGGTAGAGTTCCTCCTCTATCTCTCAGTCTTACTCCATCCATGTCCCTCAACGTCATGCTCAGACTCTTCCTTATACGATTGTCAACAAAAATGGAGAATAGATTGCAGTGAGAAATGCACATGCGAACCATATGCGGAACAC